TAATAAAGATAAAATAGTTTAAAAAAAAAAACAAATTTAATTAAAAAGAAATATTTAATAACTCTAAAATTCTGTAACAAATGTTATTATGGTTGATTTAAATGTTTTCTGAAACGTTGAAAGAATCTCGAAATTATGAAAATTAGTTGAACTCATTTTAAAGAACAATATATCATTCCTATGATACAACTAAACAAACATACAACTAATAAAATGTTGGGTAAAATAATTGAGTTTTAGTGAAAAAAAGGTTTACATTTTTATTAAATCCTTTTAATCCTAACACCACCTCAAATGTCCAAATCCAAATGGAGTTCCGACCACTGTGCAGTGTCTTTGTCCCAAGGAGGCGTCATAGTGGGCAGGCTGGGCCCCTGTGGGTCGGCTAATTGTCATGCCATGCGAGACTTCTCTCGAGCGGTTGTCTTGGGGACCCGCTACTGATTTTTCTTCTTATTTGCGGCTCTGCACTCGGTCCGTCCATCAATTGACTTTATCTATTTGAACTCGCATGTTAAAAATATCAATTTGTTGTCTGCCCAGACTTCTGACTTTGTTCGTTTCTGACAGACACTTTGGCCCGTTCAACTGACTGGTTGGTTGGTTTGTTTGGCCGATTCTCTTTCGGCCAGCTCTATGGTAGAATCGCAGCTTTGCGTTTTTGGTGTGATTTATGGCTACTCGGTGGCATAAATGTAGGTGCGGCCTGCTGCCACATAAATCATTGTTCAACTCTGCAATGCAATTTTGCGCAAAATGTTCACTTTGCTCTCGGAGTCGAGGGCTCGGAGGTTGATTCGCTAAGCAGGGATAATGTTTGATAATAGGTTAGCCACGACTTAAATTTGAAATATTAAACACTGTACTCACTCGCCAAATTTGTAAGAATTTAACTCAATATCTTTTTTTTTTTTTGATAATGAAAACAAATATTATCGAAGGAAATTAAACAATTTTTCCATTCGAATTGTTTTAAAGAATAAATGTTAATATTGACAAGGGATGTCCACACAAATGGAAAATAACTTGAAAAGCGGAAGACCATACTTTGTCATTCCCATAAACCATTTAATCTGTTGTCTTAAGAAACTCTAAGGGCCGGTTTCTCGAGTCCCTGTCAAAGTCCCTGATAGCTATCTGTTCGAAAAACTTAAAGACCAGATAAACTGTTCGTAAAAGCAAATCCGCTTTCTCGACTGCTTTAATTTATCTGAACGAGAAACAATTACAGAGTGCTGTTAACGCACAGAATTGTGCTGTCAAGCGCAAAAAATGGCGTGCTTCGATTATTTCATCAGCTGTTTGGGTATAATTCAAAGGAAAAGTCAGCTGTGATTTCGTTTCTTCTTCTTAGTTGGCTTTGGGAAATCAGCTGTCATTCTATCGAGCCGAAAACGCTTAACAGGGACTCCGAGTCCCTGTCAAAGTTAGCTCTCACATTGATGCTCGAGAAAGCCAAAATGCCTTAGCAGGGACTTTATCTGTTCGAGAAATGTTAGCCGGCACTCGAGAAACCGGCCCTAAGACCATTACCCATATCCCGACACCTGTTATACTTTTATCCTCCCTCGAACCTTTAGCCAGTCATCTGACCATTCGGAATCACTTAATTTGCTAAGGAACCCCAGTTATCCTGCCCTTCAGATCAATTATGAAACTAAAAAGGAACGGAGACTTATCCTAGATATAAGTGTGCCACTTGTGAAGGGAAGGGCACCCGAGTAAATTATAAGGTTTGTGAAAATATGGAGGGGGTTACCCCAAAAGACCACTCCCACATGAATAATTCATCGAGTCAACTGAGTGGCTGTGGCTGCATTAATGAGTAACGCTTCTTATTTACCATGATGCCGCAAAAAAATCAGAAACAGAATTGAGAAATATTCTGCGAGACAAGTTTAATTAGAGAGAGAAGCCGAGTGAAATTGTCTTATCATAATCATTCCAGCGAGGAAATTTTCTGATTTTTGCACACAGACTGACTGGAAAAGTGTGTCTAGTCACTCCGTACACATCAATCATAGTCAGAGTCCCTTTGGACAGCCAGTTAATGGCCAAGGGATCCTGGCCATAATGTGCTGGGTGTTTGCGTGTCCTCGGACTTTCAGTTGGACAAGTGCATGATTAATTATTTTATTATCTGTAAATTGGTTTTGTCCCCTCGAAACGATGATGGTGGACCTTTTTCCGCTCTTTTCCTTTACCTTTGCATACTTTGAGGCTTGTTCAAATTTCCCGCTTTTCCTTGTGGCTTTAAAAGTTTTCTCCGCGCTTAAAGAATTTCTGATTTCTGGCCATTAAAACCACTACAAGCTGAAAGCCACGAAAAACATTTTTTTTAATTTGAGGATTGGCCTTTTATTTTTTGTGCGAAAACTTTCAAGTGGAAAATCTGTTGATATTCTTTCCGCGGACCCATTAAAATTGTTTTGATTTTTTATTGTTTTGGGTTATTGGGCATGTTTTCTGGCGAAACACTGCGCAGATTTGGGTCACCAACTGTTGTCGTTTAATTAGCAAAATTTAATGACTTTATTCGGGAGTGGGAAGCAAATGTATTTGAAATACTGCGATGACAGCTTTTATGGCCCAGTGAGAAAATAATGGAAATGTACTTCGGTTGAAGGCCAAAATAAAAAATATCAAACTGGTTTCTAAGTATAGGTATTGTAATGGATCCAGAACGTGAGAAACTTTCTTTTACACTAAACCTTATTAAACCAATTGAGAGATACCCAATTAAAGTTCAAAATAGTTCATAAGTTAATTTCCTGGCTCGATTTCGCTGATCATTTCCACTGCGGGGCGCCGATCTCTTGTTCCAATTAGCGGTTAGGATCATAAACCCAAGCCAGCAACTAACTCAATCATTACGCAATTAAGCAACGAACCAAACAAAAGCATTTCCACACAGATTTATAGCTATATCCACATCGAACGGGGGGCACATTAAATCACGCGACCCATTAATAAAATTGTTCCACACTCGTTGCCGTATAATTATTTGGGGGGGTCCGAAACAGAAGTCTCAAATATTTAATCATTGTCGCCGGGCCTTCGTTCTTGGGCCTTGGGATGGATGCCATAATTCTGTTGAAAACCATTTGTACAAGTGGATTTTATTCTCGAAAGGCAGCTGTGAGCTGGATCTGAAGATTCGAACAGTTTTATGACCCTGTTTTGGATGCCATTAAAATGATTGTGTAAATTCTGGAAATAATCAAATCCCAAATAATAAAAAACATACAGATCACACTCAAAATTCTTTTAGAAGTCGTAAAAAATCACTCTTGGGATTATAAATTATTTTTATTCAACTCATTAAAGTCTATAAAGGTAAATTATTATAAATTAAACTGTCTAATTTAAACATTTTAGTTTCAATTGCAAGTTGTGCAACTTCTAGTCTTCAAGTCAGCTTGACCAGTAATCCTATTCAGAATCTACTTACATTAACTAATGAGGTTAATTTGCATTTGACGAATCCACGCCTCTTTAGCGAAATAAATCGAAGCACTTTCGGCATTGATCAATCTCTGATCGACATCAGCCCACACAAATTTTCCGTTTCGCTCTATGCAAATAGCTGTGTGGGATTTAAGCAAAAAAAAATCCAATTAACACTTTTAGAACGTGCCAAAAACTTTATTGCGCAAAAACTTGATTTATGCGAAACTGAGGGGGGTCGATAGGGAAATCGATTGGTAGCCACAGTGTCTGAGCCAGTTTAGTTGAGCAAATGGAAACCCTCACGATCGGGAACCGAACACCCACGAATCTCAAGAACCCACAAAATCAATCAACCTCGATTACTGGTTGTAGTAAAGAGCAGAGATACATTATAAGAACTAACTAATATGTTAATATTCTTATGATCAGTCGATCATCTTTATTCTAGTGTTTATTTAACTAAATAATAATATCTTAGGTCTTTGTTGTTTAAAACCTACTTACCTATTTTATAAGTAAGTTTAAGTTTTACTTTTGTTCATTAAAAACAAATTATTTTTGATTGCATTAAAAATCTATATGTATCTCTAATTTATACCCTCAATCCATTCTGTATTCCGCTGCGTTCTGTTGTGCCTCTTTGTAGTTCTTCGTTCATAACAATGAATTGCTGCGATTTAATCAATTGTGGCAGGTGTTTTTATTTTTTTACATTTTCATGTTGTTGCCACAAAAACTGCACGCAGCCAGCTATCGAAACTGGTTGGCTCCGACTGCAACTCCGAAAACCGCTTTGAATCTTTTTTCCGAAGCCTTGTTTGATTTGCTCAAATTAGCGCATGCAGAGCCAAAAACCTGCTGGCGTCCCCCACCAAAAAGACTCGCAACATGTGGCACGTTTCCTTGGCCGGGCAATTGAAATTGAAAACTTCGCAGCAAATTGTTGGCACTTAATTGAGTAACTCCGATCGATCTCTCGATGTGCTTTGCATAAATTGAAAGGGGTCTTTGGAAAGAGCGTTCTGGGAGTGGGTGCGTGATATAGGTGTCATATGCAGTCGGTTGTCAGTTGGCTTTGATCGTGTCTCCGCATCGAGGTGCATTGTTTACGATCTGCAGGGGTCCGAACGGACACCTTACCGCAACTCTGGCCAGGTGACCACAGCACAGCGGCTAGCGACTTTATTGATTCGATTCCACAATTGAAAACCGTTGATCTTTTGTGGTTGATTTTCTGACACAATTGGGTCATAGTTCTTAAGGTCGTGCAGCTGGTGCAAATGAGAACTGTGGACAATAGAATTGCATTTTTAGATAACACAAAAAAATATCTACGATTTCACACATTCAGCGCCAAGGGGTTTCTGCTTATGCTTTTTTAATTAAACAAATAATTCGTAGACTATTTAATTTTGTGGTGAAAATTAAATAATTAACATCAATATTCAGCTTTCAAAGACATACATTTTATTTTAAGACATTTAATATTTTTTAATACATTATAACTTAGTCTAGTTTTTAGAAACTTAAAAGTTATAGATTCTGAGATAATCCTCAAAAAATTGTATATTTCACTTTTTTTTTACTTCTTCCTTGTTATTAAAATCACCAAAGATACGAAAATTAAAAGATCACCTCCTACCAAACTCTATAAATACTTTTTAACTCTCACGATCCTCAATTTTCACTTCCACTATGAGGCCTCCAACATTATCGCCACCACTAAAAAATGTTATAATGGCCTTCACAATCCCTCGAGGCACTTGCGATGGCCAATCCTCGGTGTTGAAAAGGACATTTTTGATGTAAAATTCGCCCTCGGGAACTGGACAAAAGTCGTCGTCGACCAGGGGAAAATTGGTGGTTTCTCCTGTTTTCACAGAAGGTTGCACGAACTGGACGTAGAACTTCTTGAAGCAGTCGCAAATGCTCGTTTGGGGCACGTCCATGGCCATCCTCTTAAACTCCCCATCGCCTCTGGGACTCGAATAGAGTTCCACGGAAACCTTGAAGTCATCGTTGTTCATCTCACCAACGAATTTAAAGGACCCGTTGAGAGCTCTCTCCCGGCCAACAGTTTTTAATTTGTCGAAAAAAACCAAAGTCTGGGAATCGCCCTCGAAAGGCTCTAGTCTCTCATTGGTTACCTCATAGGATTGCTCGCACTGTTAAAATAAGTATTTGGAAATTAAAAAATTTAATACAACATTTTTTTAAAGACCTTTATATTTTTCAGCAAGTGAAAGAGTAATATTATTACAGCCCACTTCATTTTGAACTGACGCTTGGCTGTTCTGAGTTCATCTTATTTATTTGATGTTTTTCGCTTGGATTTGGCACGCAATCTCCATGTTCCATATATGTACGAATAGATTAACAATCTTGTTGTGATGTTCGTCCATCGACTACAATGTATTTGCTGATCCTGATCTTTAAATTTTACCCGGACTACTGTCAAGTTCAATCATGTTAAGTTTTAATTGATTTAATTCCAGTCGACACGAATTACTACTAAAAATAGCTAGCCGGTTCCTATTTTATGGAGCATAAATATTTTAAATGATGAAAAACTGTTTTAAACAAAACCTAAAGTCATGGTAGCACGCTATAAGAATATAATATAATCATCGAGATTACTAATACAAATAAGTTCATTTCCCTTATTATTACCGATTCAACTAGCGGGATAAAAACAAAGTTAATAAAATGGCCTCATACTAGCCGTAATCGTATCAATTGAACAGGAGCATTTGTACCTCCCTCCAATTTCTAATCCCCCATCCAAAAAGAGCGCCGTGTTGAAAATCCAACTAAAATAATTCAATTTGTTGGAATCGCCTTCACTTCACCTTCCCCCGCCAGATGGTGGCCCCGAAAATTCCTCCGAAGTCCCATCAACAGATCATCAAAATTTGGGGGAAAACCCCCCAAAAAAGAGCGATAATAAAGCATTAATTGAAAAGTTTTAAACAAAAGACAGCAGCGACTCGAGAACGTGTAGACAAAAGACACGGAATACAAAACAACTAACAGAAAAAAGTGCGCAATGCCAGAAAAACTAAACTCAGCAGGAGATATTTTACATTTTCACGGATGGATTTCCCCAGAAAGTGTGTGCCAGAGCAGAGGGCGCGATAGTTTATATTTATAACAAATTCATTCAAGATCCAACAAGGGGAAGGCGGTTTCGTTTCAGGGGGAGGAGGTACAGAAAATGGGCGACACCACGCGCCCGCGCCTGCCACACTCTATAAATAGGAAAAGTCAAATGAGAGGGGATTTTCCGAAAAATGAAAACGTCACTTCAACTTGGCATTGCTCGCTTTTCAAGGGGGGCCTGCCATGGGTCTATCCACCCATTTCCCCCCCAAAAAAAAATTAAAGAATTAAATGTGGAGCACTTTGTATACCTTGTAGAATTTCCATTGGTTTTATAAAACATTTTTATAGGATGTATAAAATAATAAATAAATAATCCTTAAATTATTTTTAATAATCAAACTAGTTTTGGTAGAAAATAAAATAAATAATATTTTAACAATAAGAATAATGTTATAATAATAAGTTTATACAAACTTCCGTTTTCAACAAAAGTATTTTTTTCGTAATAAGCCCAAATTAATAGGTACAAATAAATATACCCCAAAGGAAGTGGTATCCAAATAGACAACCATATGCAGCCGCAAACAATTCGAGGCATTTTCCAAGTAATATGCAACACATGTTCTATGGCCCGTGGGGGAAAGTGTGCTTCTGCGCCTGCGCCCCGTGCCACAAATGAAAACGGAAAACTGCCAAGGAGCCGACAGTTTTCCGTTTTTCCTTTTTGTCAAATGGAGCAGCACACGAACGTAACGTCAAGTGACAGTTCGCTGTCCTCAGCGAGCCATGACATTAGATGATGCTTTGACTCGGATCAGCGCTCCAAAAACCCCAAAGGGACAAACAAAATAGGGGGCCAAAAATGCCAGCCAGATTCCTGCTCCGGCAGCATTGTCAATCAAAAATATTACAATAGGATTTACTGGGGGAAATAGTGATATAGTACAGATTTAAAAACCTTAAGAAAGCAAAAGAGAGAGAGAAATAATATTAAATATCATAATATAAATAAAATTATGAAATGAACTTGTCAATATCCATAGCCGATAAGCATAACTCAAAAAAGCTAAGAACGCAGTTGCCCAAACCATTTACAATGTCCAGCTTATAGTCAAAGATATGACGAAATACCAAATACAACGGGTTCAGAAACCATTAAACGGTCCACCAATTTAGCATATTCAGAGGCTTTCCTAACCCATAGATTAATGATCAGTCTGCTGCTCCGAGTTCGCCAAGTGGTCGAGCAGGTGACAGGCATTAGCATAAATCGCTAAAATCGAAGCGAGCAGAGTGGACAGGTCGGGCAACCATTAATGAACACCTACACGACGATGGGATCTGGACCTGGCCAGCGATCTTAGCAGTATAAATCAAACATTTAATTACAGTGTAATTAATGTAACGTATTTCAATTAATTAAATGCGCTTTGATTGGCGTCGTTGCCCAGACGCAGTTCGGCCAAGAAACCAACTATCAAACAACGCCTAGGCCAAAAACCAAAACTTAAATCGCAAAAATCGAGTGAAAAACAAAAACATTACGAAACCTGAATTTTTGCGCGCCAAAAAATCGCAGAGGAAAATACAATATTAAAACAAGTCAACAATATAGACATAAACCTTTTTTTCGTAGACTCGTACTTGTAATACTCTTAATTAATACAAGTTAAACTTTAATAATTTTAGATAAAAATAACAAGAATGTAAAAATAACAAGAATGTAAAATTATTTTAATGTACCTATTATTTATTCACCAAGAATATTTCCTGGATTCTATACATTTAGACAGCATTAGAAAAGCAAAGTAAGTATCAATCATTTTTAACATTAAATTGGAATGAAATATTTAAGAAACAACCAATAAATAAGGGATCATCGATATTCGTAGAAAGTTAGAGTATCTTAAACAGCTGGTAATGTCGGTGAAGCAGGTGATAAGGCGGCATTGCCAATTGGAACCGCATAAACCAGCTGCAAACGTTACTGGAGGATCAGAAGGGGCGGAGGGCGTGGCGTGGGCGATGGAAAACTCAATTGCGTCGTTGCGAAAATTAACTGCAATATGCACAGAGCCCAAAGAGGCCGAGAGCCACTCTTGGCTTAACAAATGTTAAAGGCTCGCCACAAGGCCTGTCCCGACTTTTTTTTTGTTGTTTTAACTACACAAAAACAAATACTTTGGACTAATTTTTAAAATAATAAATAAATAAATATATAGTCTTATACAAAGATTTTACCAAAAAAGGTTTAATTTTTCAAACAAGTCGAGAATTTTAACCTCCAAGCCACTGCAATGGCTTTACCATTGCACTGATAAAAAAGCAAAAAAAAAAAGGGTTTTTAAATTGGTGTATGAGCCAGAAGGACTTCATTATTCTTATACGCGAATTCTTTAGAATCTTCCTTTAGGATTCTTTAGGATCTTCCTTTTCTTTTCGTAATATTTTAGTCAAAGAAATTACAATGCTTTTGCCTTGTATTTTTCTCAGTTTACAAATGGGTTGCCTTCCTACGTTGCAGGCCAAGTTGAGAAGGCGTCGCGGCTTCCGTGGCAGGTTACAACGGATTTGTTGCTGCTGTTGTTGGTTTGGCCTAATGCGAAAGTTGTTGCCCTTGTGTTAGTGCGCTGTAGCTGTTTTCGTGCCACAAGTGGCAGTGCCAAACAAAACTGACCAACAAAAAATAAATTCAAAATGGAATAATAAATATATTTTATTATGGTGGAATTTTTTTAAACGGTATAATTGTTTCAATATATTTAATTATCTTGATAACTATTTTTTTGGGGAGTCTTTAATAATTTAGAAAATTGTATATTTATTAAAAAGAATAATATATAAGAAAAAACAATTTTTTTCAGTGATAAATGGTAATATTAAGTAGTATCAATATAAGCAATCATCAAAATCATTAAAAAGCTAAAAGTAAAATTTCGTATTTTTCCTAAATGTCCCTAAATATCTATTAATTATATTTTGTTTATCAGTGTTGTTTTTCCACAACGTCACGCGTCAAAGTTTGTACGTGTTGTTTCGTTTGTTGGTCAAGTGAGCAACAACAACATTGACAATAACAAATGCAACACGCGCTTAATTTTTATTAGACCTCATGTGGTGCGCATGCGCAGCACCGAATAACCGTTGCGCACGGACATACGGATACAAATGCACATGTGCGCGTAGATATATTTTTTGGGGCCAGCAATTGGCATAATTGACTGGCCGGTCCGTCTGGTCAGCTACGTGAGGTGGGAGAACTTTTCGGTTACCATATTGTGGCGAACTCCCCTGCCAGTCGGTTGATTTATGTCCATCATTAATAACAATCACAAGAGAGGTTCAAGACAAATGTAAGGCAAGCCAGCTGAGTGACAAGGAGGTTGAACCTTGGGCAACTCCCACACGGAATGGGTGTTTCTAAAACTGGGATCCCCAAATAATTGGTTTACCTTTTGGGGAACAGGTGGATGTGATAAACTGCCTCTGAGCCGTAGGATCTATAGGAATACATATAACATGTTTAAATTATAATATTTTATTATTTATGTGTAACAAATAGATTGCTTATTACCTTAATGAGCATCTAATAATTACATAACAATTAAAAGTTGAACAGTAAAAATCTTAGACATTTTTAATCGATCTAAATAATTGTTATACTACTTAACCAGCCGAATCACAACATTTATAGTTGCATGAAAAGCTTTATGTGTAGTGTCATTGTCCCGCGTTGTTTTTTGCAATTATCAGCAATAAATTGGTTTATGTCGGCAGCTTCACATATCAACCCATACAGATTTTTATGGGCCCTCGTCGTCTATATTTAGATACCGCCACAATAAAGAGCCCAGCAAAACAAAAAGCGAATCCCACTCGAACTAATTGCCATGTCCACAATACTGGTGCTTATCCTTGATCATCAATGGTTCATTAACTCCGCCAGAACTGCTGCAGCAAAAAAAGAATACGATGCCGTGGAGCGTATTTAATACAATTAACTTGCTACGTTATAAGATTAACCCCATCGAAAGGGGGATTCGCAATGGAGTCAAGATCAAGCTTCCTCCCAGATTAACAATCAATTAAAATTGACAAGTGGTCAGCAAAGTGCAGAGGAAAAGCGAAGGAAAATAGAGGAGAGGAAAATAATTACGATGGCTGCATAAAAGGCGCCATTTAGCCTCGGCTAACGACACGCAATAATTACGCCCAATTAATCG